TAAAGAAGTTCTCTAGAATTTTGACACGTTTTTTTCTCAACAGGTTATTGTGGTTTAAAATCCCAAATTAAAATAACTTGTCTTAGATACAGGCAACCTTAACCATGTCCAAAACCAGATTAAACTAAGTTAAATGCCCAGAGATGCTAAGAGAATAATAACTCCTTATAAAAGTAAGGGGTGCTCCTCCTAGGAGTTCCAAGGAAAACATTAAATATAAAAGCATATATATTTCATAAGACATTAGTCTGGTTACATTTTCAGTGCTCAATTGCATTTCAAATTATTCTAGCTGTTCAACCAGCCTGGAGGTCCAACCGTCAATCAAGAGGCTGTTTTTCTTTCTGCGCCCCCTACTGGCAGGTCAGGCAGGTAGCTCAGCTACCTTCTTCCCTACATGCTGTAGGTGAATTTGCTTAGTAAAACTGGGAGAGATTTTCCTTTCCAAAAGGGAAACAGTACTTGGGTTTTCAGTAGATAGACTCTTAGACTCTTTTTTCACTGACTGAACATCTCTGGCATTCTAGAGACCATTCACTAAAGTGGTCTAGTTAGGAAATGTTTGGTCTCTTCTTTAATTCTTGCAAATCAAACCTCAGACACCTTAAAAATTTGCAACACCCAAAGCTATCTCACCTGGGCAGAAATTAAATTACCAAGAGGAGAAAAATCTGTATTTCCATAGTAATGAAACTCATAAAGTTCATTCAAGAAGAAATGCTTGCACCAGTATACCCAGGGCGGAGAAACCTTTTAAACTCTGTATAGCTAATCTCCCATCACTTGCAGTGTAATATACCACAATGAAGGTTCACATTATTACAGCTTATTTTCAAACAGAAACTACATTTCTACTGTATGGCTCTTAAGGAGAATCCTGTATAAGTTGATATGCACTTTTAGCCTCTTCCTACCATGGTTCACCTCCGAGAGAGATGCTGGGCAGTATTCTTCACGTACTTACAGAGAAGTCAGTTCTTCTCTCTCCCCGTTCCCCCACTGATTGAATAGACTCTAATTTAGCACCTACTGCAAGTGTTAGACTTTTCAGCAGCAAAAATAAGCAAGTCATAGGGCCTTCCCCAATAGACCTAGGAAGAGACAGACGTAAATGGTATTTGTAGTTGGAGAGAGAGTCTGGGGGTGCTAACAAACTACAGTGGAAACTATAAAAGAAAATGAGTAAAGCCACCTGAGGGGCTAGCATGGAGCTCACCATAAAGCATAGATGAACAAGAGTTTGCTGTTCAGGAATTTAGAATGCTAGTCAGATAAACGGGACAACAAAGTCATAGAAGTGCGAATGAAAACTACATGTTCTACAAAAAGTTTTACATGGCCTGAGTGTAAGCTGAGGATTGAAGAAAATGCAAGTGGGTGAAGATAGGGGTCAGACCATGGAAGACACTGACTGCTCCACTAAGGAACTTAGCCTTTACTTGTGAGTGATGGTTCTGTGGTTAGATACGTCACTATGGCCATAGGTGTTTGGATGGAGGAGCTAGAGGGGTAGAGACAGGTGAAGAAGCTATAGAAATAGCCAGGTGTAAAGTGATGATCCAGAACGGGATAAATAGCAGGTGGGATGAAAAACAGTAGCATACAATATTCCTGACTATATCTAGGAATGTATTAATCATATCCCCAGGTAAAGGATGGTGTCTCCTATAAAATAGATTCAAGAGAGTACAAGAATAGAGACACATGAAACACCTTCCCGCCCCAACCCACACATACACACAACCAGCTCTCTCTCAGTGATCATGGGGGCTGTGAACCCTTCTCAGGCTTCTCCTGCACTATGTGCTCATTTCTGGGCCTGAATCTGACTTGGGCCTAAAAAGACATATGAAAAATCATCAGTGCCGTGGATAGGGGATGTGTCCTTAGTTTGCCAGCTCCAAAAAGTCAGGGGGCTCAATTGCTTCTTAGAGATGGTAAAGTTATCCTTGAGTAGGATTGCCAGATAATATACTGGACATGCAATTACATTTGAATTTCAAATAAACAGATAATGTTTAGTACAAACAACCTAAATATTGTAGGGAACATATTTACCCTAAAACAATAATCCTAAAATCAATAATAATTTATCTGAAATTCAAATGTAACTGAGCATCTTGTATTTTTATTTGCTAAATCTGGCAACCCTAACCTTGAGCCTTGCCTCCTTCTAGCTCAGACCCCTTTGTCAGACACTTGCACTGAGAAGCAAATAGGAATAAGCAAAGTGTATGCTATTGCTGAAAGATGTTTTACAAAGTCATCATGGGTATGATCTCCCTAGATCTGCTCACCGCCTTGCAAAATCTGAAATCTCCAGTGGACTTGGAAGTGAGCAAAGAGCTGGTAATGTCATAGGATTGTCGGGAGGAAATGACTTAATGTGGAATAATAACTTATTTACTAAAGCAAATGTCAGTGTTCTTATAATAAAGAAGCTCTCAAATACAACATTAATGTCTATATCACACATTGATGGCAAGAATTCTCTTAGGATACATATAAGCAATAGCCTTATATGATCTTTTTCAATGTTTTGAAACATTAAATGATGCTCAAAGTAACTTCTGAAGCATTTACTTTGCACTTGAAATTTTGGACATTGACTGTATTCATACCTAGTATTTCATAAACATCTATCCTTTGGACAAAATTAAGTTCAGAACTTATGTTCACATTAAGAATTGGTTTGTAAAAGCCAAGGGCATAGCAATTATTATAATATTTTAATATATAAATGAGTAATGATTATTTAGAAAACACCCATGACCAAACTCCATCAAATCTAATTTTCCCAGACTTAGGTGTACATCTAGTAAGTCTATTCCTACATACCAAAGAAAATTTTTAGCAAGAGCTACAATCAGCTTCCTTCTGAAGGAATAATCTTATGATTTCATGTGAGAAAAATCTCTCCTTGATGTGAGTGAGAGATGAACTTGTGAAAGTTATAGTCAGAACTGTTAGTTTGCTTTTCCCTTTCTGACTGAATGACAAGAGAACATTGTCTACCTTTTCTGGATTCTTTGATAGTTTGTTTTCTCTGCTAGAAGCAAATCAAATATTCCAAATACCCTTGAACAGAAAATAGCCTTAAGCCCCATAAGGTGTATTTCCATGAGCATTTTGAGGTGGAAAGACCCTGCAAATTTTAGTTAGAGAAGTTTATTTAGGCTCGTCTTTGCAGGCAAGCCAGGTGATAGGCTTTCTGGTTTTCCTAGTAACTAAGAATCAGTGAGAAACACTTGTACTAGACAACTACCATAGTCTTACATTTATGGAGTAGCCACTGTGTGCATTGTTCTATCAGCCATCAAAAAAGAATGATAAAAGTCCACAACATAGGAAGCCATTCATCTGAGTGTTCTTCCAAAAAATATGGTAATTACAAGTAGTGTCATCATCAGTGACAAGGGCAGGGAAGACTATGTTTTCTTTTTATTCAGTTATTCAAATGCTTAAACCTCTTCTATTTAGAGTTCAAACGAGGTAAAAATACAAGCTCAAAGGTAAACTTTGAATTATGAAATAATGGGATTTTTAAAATTACTAAATGTTGAAAGATAGGATCTTAGCTTTTCTTGTCTTCCGTTAGAAGGCAGAACAGGTGTCCCCTGTTGAAAAGCTTGTTAGATCATTGTATCACCTCGTAACCTCCCCACTTTATCTTGCTTTTTATTTTTCAATTACCTCTTAATATTTACAGCTTTCCTTTGAATTGTTTCTTTTTAGTTAGAGAAATCAGGAACATATTCTTCCAGAAATGAGAATAAAACTAATTGCACAACTCCCACATTTTCTTTTTGTTTATTGTTAGCTTTAAGCATAGCTGCTTGCTGCCCAGTTATACGTTAGCTATATGACTGCCAGGGCTTTTTCCTCCTATCATTGTATATCTCAAGTCACTCTCCATTTCGTTTTTAAGTAGTCTGTATGTTTGTGTGTGTGTGTGTGTGTGTGTGTGTGTGTGTGTGTGTATCTGAATGAAACAATTGCTAGCTTTAGACAGAAATGTATGTGTACACAGATTTTACATATATATATACACATGTGTATATATGTATATGTGTATTTACAACTATGTAAATGTACATGTGTGTATGTATATGTATACATGTATATATGTATATTATATGAATAGCTAGTGATTTTCAAAAAATATATATTGACTCAAGTGTTAGATAGCTACTCTGTAAATACAGTTTTTAATGTTTCAAGAAATCTAGAAGCCTGTCTTTTACCTACAGACCCTTTGTGCATGTGGCAAATCACCTCTAAATGGCAAAAACTAAATGGATTCTCTTCATTTGTTCAAAAATGAGAAGCTTTAAAGATATGCCTATGAATAAAAGAAAATTAGGTTGGTATATTATGATTGTGCAATTGTTATAAATTTCATTGAAAATTGACCCCGTTCTACTTGGATGACTAAGACATTTAACTCTTAGGGATGTTGAAAGTGTACCACAAAACATAAGTCATCAATGAAGTGATGTTTAAAGACTTTTAGTATATACTGCTTATTTGAGTAATTCATTATTTTGTAAATACCAATAGCATATGTTTCCAAGAAAAATAAAATAGCCATGTTCCAACAACAGTGTTCACCACAGAAAAATTATACAGAGGGGAAGGTAAACACAAATGTTAAAAAAATATATCAAGTGAAGCATACATCTGCCCCTGTGCTTGATGTTCTAATCTAGCACAATTCTTTCCTAACTATAATACATATTATTTTAATAAAATACGGTCATGACAGCAGCTTACATTTTTAAATGTTGAGGAACACTTTACATCGATTTAACTCATACTTTTAAAAATGTATGTAAATTCTATAGCTGTTTTTTTTTTTAATAGAAGGAATGTACTTTGAGAATAACAGCATTTCAGGACTGGTTTTGTTTAAAGTATATCCAGCCCTCCTCCTTATTTTATTTTTGGTTTAAATAAAAGTAGAGCAAAGCACTCTTTGAAGTAAAAGTACCTGTCTTTTCCTTTTTTTAAAATCATAGTTTATTTTCACTACCTGAAAGTGGAGAAAAGATGTAGTATAAAGATAGCTTTCCTCTACACCAGAGCAGGCTCAGCAGAACCCATCCCCAGCTTAGCCACACCCAACATCATGGAAATAACTAGGAAGCTGCGGTCTCTAGAGGACAACTAATACGAAAACTAAATTCCTAACACCATTAAAGTGTTGAGGAAACTTTTGGGCTAATTTCTACACCTCTGGTAAAATACAGAATGATTACATTCACTCACAATAAAAATCAAGTGTGCCCATGCCATCTGCCATGGGAAATTTCACCATCTTGGATTCACTCACATTGTCAACGTATACACCTTTTTCAGGATAAAGCCATTAGGTAATATCTTGACCATATCCTCTGCATGATGAACTGTTACTCAAATTTTTCTGCCATGGGTTACCTTATTAACACTGAACAAAGAGATAATAAATGATTATTTCAACAGGAATAAGAGAAACCTTGCAAACCTTTCAAGTTTCTTCTGTAACTATTGTTTTATTATTGCGTGTTTGTAGAGGTATTATCACGGACCTGATCCTTTTATAGGCCAATATAACGAATGCCACTTTAACTACCCAACTCATTTTTACTGCCAGTCTAGCCTCGGCAAGTATAAAGCTGACAAGCCATTCCTCTATGAGAGTTTCCTCTTAGTGAGAGAGAAATCTACATACCATCAGAGGAAATAAATCTTAGTATTAGGTGTGATGGAGACTAATTCATTTCTTTTGATGAAGTCCCACCCTTGAGTGACTTTGAGGGGGAAGACAAAATGTCAAGAAGGAGTCCTGCAGGAACAAGTGCTTAAGATGGTGTTTAATACAGCAGGGAGCCAAGATACAGTAGTAGGACACAGTAAGGAATGTGGAATGTGTAGATACAATTTAGAATTTCGTTTTATGATCTGCCACCTGTTATTTGAAAGAGGAATAAGCTAGGGAAATAAATGACTTTCAGTTATTTATACATGCAAGGGTAAGTTAGTTATTACAAAAGTTTTGCTGTTGTGCTAAAAGAAAAGCATATGCATTTGAACATTTTTTAAAAAATAAATCACTCAATAGGCTTAAGAAAAATACTTTAGTTCATATTTCATTGATCTGACCTTTTGATTTAAGATCAGGGAATGAATCCAGGATGAAAACTAAAGAAGAAAAGAAAGAAAAAAAAATAGAAGTGAATCATTTACCATGAAAAAGGCATTTTCAGTCTCAGGTAACCTCAACTAGTTTTTATTGCATTATTTTTGAAATGCCAAGAAACTGGCTTTGGTCGTAATACTTTCTGACCAACCAAATCACAGCTGTTAATGTGCAATTGCTTGCAACAATTAGCTAAACAGCATTATTTGACAAATTCCCTTGAAAGAGACCTAAATGCTATAAGCGTCTAACACATTGAATCAAGTAACTATCAGTTAGGCTGGGGCTGCAGCAGGAGGAGAGAAGTTTATAATCCTTGTCTAAGGAAGGGGTTTCACACCCAGCCTTCAGTTTTTGAAAAACAAGCATTTGTCCTGATCCTACTAGTTCTTCCCTGTTTTCAGCAAGAATTGAACTGTGAAACTGGCTAAAGAGGAGGGGGAAAAGCCACCAACTCTAGATTCAGTTTTAAGGAGATCAGGAGGAGAAGAAGAAAAATAGAAATGCAAATGTGAAATGGTGATGAGGTACAACATGGATAAAAGAAACATCATGGAACCTGCTAGCAATTTCCACCAAAGCAGTGAACCCCTTAACTGACAGAAATTCAGTACAATATACACATTCATTAACAACTCCACCATTACTAGGGCTGCTGTTTAAAGCCAAAAAACTACAATAGTCAAAAACAGAATTCTTATAATATTTGAGAAAAATAGAGTGAAAAGGCAATGTTAGCTAAGCTCTTAGCTACATCCACTCTTAATGGCCCCCAGTATTTAAACTATCATGGATTAAAGCCATGAAAATAAAAATTTCAATTTGAAATTTTATTAGCATGTTGCTAAAATGGTCAATAAAAACATCAACACGATAGGCTTTGTTGACATAGTTGGAAAACTGCTCTCTCATTTTTTAAACTTTATTTCCACTCCCCCACCTTCAAAGATTTCTATGTTAGGAAAAGCCAAACTAAACATACTGGCTATGGTGTTGTAATAATGCTGGTTTCTGGAATGGTGCCATGTCCTCCCCCTCCCTCTCCTCCAACTCCTTTAAAAATATGACTATTTTTGAAATGCAGCCCTAGGAGGGAGCCATCAAGGGTTCAGAACAATAAGCGCCCATCACACATTCAAGTTCCCAGACACCAGGTGAACGAGCGAGTTCCTTGTCGGGGGCGGGGCCGGCCGTCCTCACCGAATTCGCTGCGCCATCTTCCTCCCGGGACCCGACCGGCTTCCCTTCGGCCAGCGAGGGAGACTCGCAGGCAAAGGCGGGTGGGGGTGGCGTTCACTTCCCTCGGTGGAAAGAACGGGAGGCGAACGAACACTGTCTGGCTTAGCCCGCAGCCTGGAACACAATGTCAGGTTACCTGGGGCTGGAGAGCTGGAGAAGTCCCGGGCAGCCTCAGGATAACCCGGAATCCCCAAGTGCTGTCTTGGGGAATTATTATTCCCAAGCGCACGAGGGACAGTCTCGATTTCTTGGAAATCCTGCCATCTGGGGACGCATCCACAGAGGAGCTGAACTGTGCCCTGAAAAGACCAATTCTCGCCTCCGACCGGTCTGTGCGCGCGCGCTCGGGGCGGTGATGGTGGCTTTTGAGAAGAGGGTCGTTTCCCGGTCGGGTCACAGTCACTGACCATGGACTCGCGGGGGAGGCCACGTCCTTTCTCCCCTCAGCCCCTTCCCCTTTCCTGGTTCACATCTTAAGGGGAAAGCGCACGCCGGGTCTCCCAGCACCGTCGCCACCCGTTCAGCTGCGCCCTTTCGGCCCCGGGGCAGTTCCTGAGACTTCCTGCCGCTGGCCGGGGAGCGAGGTGCGAAGGTGCAGCCCGGGCCTCGGCCACCGGCGGCGGGCGCGCCAGGGGACTGGGGTTGAAAACCGCCGGCCGCGAAGTCCGGGTGCGGGGACTGGATGGGTGCGGGACGCGGGGAGGCGGCGGGGCCGGCAGCCCCTCGGCAGCTACTCCTTGTCGTCCACGAGGTCGGCGAGCTCCTGGAGCACGCGCAGGCGGCCGCTGGCGTCGATGCGGCGCTTCTCGCGGATGAGGTCTTCCAGGCTGTGAAACCTGGCGGTGTGGATCTTGTTCTCCCCCAGGTGCACCTTGAGATAGTACTGCTGCTGCGGGGGCTGCGCGGCGGCCGGCACCTCCCCTCCCGCCTTGAACTCCCGCTTGCCGAAGCGGCACCAGGCGGCGAAGCTCTCCGAGTTCGTCCAGCAGATCTCCTCGCTCTTGAGGCCCAGGTGGCCGCAGGCGTTCTGCACCACCAGCTCGGCCACCAGCGGGCGGTAGCGGTACCAGCTATTCACCACCCGGCCCACGTTGGCCGCGCCCGCCTCGTACAGGCTGTCCTGGCGGATCTCGCCTTGGTGCAGGTGGATGATCTGCCCGCCGCCCACGTAGACGGCCCAGTGCGGGGCGGGCGCGGGCGGCTCCGGCGCGGGCTGCAGCCACAGCAGCTCCAGCAGGTCGCCTGGTTCGCAGAGCGCGGGCAGCGCGGTGACCGCGTAGACGCTCAGGTCCGCGCCCTGCGGGCCGCCGCTCACTTTCGAAAAGATGCATTCCTGGCCCCGAAAGGCGGAAAACTGAGTCTCGTTGAGGAGCAGTTGGTGCAGCAGGTGGTGGTGGTGGCGGCTGGGGCTCTCCGGGCAGGGGGTGCAACCCGGGGGGGCCTTCACGCCAAACTTGTCGGGCTGCCCGCGTTCGTCCAGGTCTTCCTCATCATCCGAGAAGAAGTAGGCGACCCCGACCCGCAGTTCGTCCTTCTCAATCCCGGACGGGTCCCCTGTGGGCAACTCGCTGTAGTTGAGGTGGGTGATGCGGTCCAGTTGGTTGCCCATCAATGAGGCGGCGAGGCGAGGGCCAGGAGCGGGGATCTGCGGAGCACAGAGAGGCAGAGACACCATCAGAGTCGGGGCTGTCCCTTTCGGTGTCCCTCCCCAAGACGTGCGTGCCCCTGGGACCTGCCGGCTCTCCTATGTGCTTTCACCAGAGTCACCTTTTCCAGCAGAGTCCCCGTGCCTCACCGCGGGTAGGAGGGGCGGAGAAGCTGCCACCGGTCCAGAAGGCGACCGCGAGAGCAGACACCACCGCACAGCCTCCGACCCCTTCCGGGAACCCGGTCCAACTCCCAGAAGAAAACACCCAGGCTGGCTGGAGAGGTTGCGGGGTCCCCGTGGGTAGGAGAGCGCTGGCTGTGGCAGCGTGGGAGACGGACACCAGGGAAGGACGGAGGGGTGGGCTGAGAGGGAGAAGGGAGCCTAAGGCCCTTGAGCTGGGAGCAAGCTGAGCTCTCATGTCTCCAGCCCACCTCCCAGTTTCGCACTAGGTTGCCTTCCTCCCCTTACAGCGGCTCGCACAATGACAATCGGACACATTCTCAGGCATTCACTTGACACCAGCAACATTTTGGACACTTGGGAGTCCAGACATTGGCAGGCTGGTGTACTGGTGTATAATGTCACATACACCCACAGTGACAAACCTTCACGACGACACACTGGCACACTTAGACCCCACACATTCGTGCACCATTTCAGCCCCACGCTTGCACGCTCGCCGATGCACGTACGCCCAAGCACCCGGGCACACCTGCCCTCCCAGGCAGGTGCACTCTGCCCCTTACTTCTCTTGCCTTGTCCCCAGCAGAGCCAATCGGACTGCGCCAGGGCGAGGCTGCTCTGTCTAAAATAACCTAACAAAGAGGCAGGGGAGGATGGAGAAAGCCAGTGCAGTGTATGTGTGTGGGTGTGGGTGGGAGCGTTTGTGTGTAGAGAGGTCCACTTTCAGCTCAAAGACCCCCTCCCTCCAACCCAGCACAGGATCCAAACAATCGGACGAAGAAAAACCGTTTCCAAGGCAAAGAAAGCCGCTTCTCCCTACCCGTGATTTCCCTGCTCCCGAAACCCCAAACTCCTTTAAAGTCTCCTGGTCCCCATGGGTGCTGCGGAGGCGGCGGTGGCGAGTGAGTCCTGGGCTGCGCGTGGGGCTGTGGCTCCGCACTGCCCCGCGCCGAACCGTGCGGTGCGGCGCCCGTGCGCCTCCGGGTCTGCGCTGGCCGGGGTGCCTGCTCCCCCTGGACAGTCCCGGCTCGGCTCTGCTTTCCCACAGCCGCGCGGACGACTCTAAGTAGCCAGAGCAGCCGGTTCCAGGGCCCGCCCCAGAACGCGCTCATTGGTTGGGGCGGGTGCCAGAGCCCTGTCAATCTCCACCGGCGGGGGAGGGGCGCAGGGGCGGGTCCGCAGTGAGCTCGGCTCCGCCCCGCCCCGTCCCCCGCACATCCAACCGCGCGCTGCCCGCGGGAGCGGAGGTGTGCGCACCGGAGTGGGGCGCGGCACTTTTTGTAAGGCACTGCTGCCCGCTGGCGCCCGTGGCCCCCAGCTGGTACGAGCCGATTGTGACGGAGAACACAGTCCGCCCGCGTTCGGTGTTCCAGGAAGACAGGCTCCTCCGGCTGCGAAGCTAAGTCTGGGTGTGGAGAAGAAACCCCAGTGCACCCCAGCGTGGCCCAGGCACTGCGAGCGGCCCGGGGTGGGCCGCGACATTGTCCCAGGCGAGCGCTGGGATACCCCAGGAGCCTTGGCTCCCGATGGCCCTGGGATCGAAGACCTTTTTCTGCTCCGGACGTCTTTGAAATTGCGCCTGCGACCGTTGGCTCCTCTTCTTTGACTGGAGTGAGGCTGCTGACCCTGAGCTGGTGCCCTGTTTAAAACTGGATGACCCGTGTCAAATGCGATCCAAAAGTCTGAGCTTTGGCGGGTCCATTCCCTGGCTGTGCCTGTGATATTGGCCTCCGGTTTTCTGAGTATGGGAGGAGTACTTCACAACTCACGTGTGTGAGTTCGTACATGCAAACAGAGAGTAGGACATAAAAGTATTTTCCAAGCCCCAGGATTGGGATTGCTAAACAGGTTTTGTTTGGTTTTGTGGGAAAGGGAGTGTCGAGCAGTAGTTAATGATTACATTTCTGGATGGAAAGTTAATGAATGAATGTGTTCTAATTTCGTTTATACAATATTCTAGACCAACATTTTCAAAAGTTTCTAACTTTAAACCTCGAAGAGTTCTTAGACATCTGGTTCTGGTCCCAACGCTACTTATCTTTAAGCCTGGGCTCCAGCAACTTTTCTATGAAGCCTCTTTTCTTTCTCAATGGGGAATTTGATGCTTCCTATTTGTGCCCCCTGCCTCTTCCCTATAAAATGAATTCCTTGAGAATAGACTTGCATTCTGCACAACCTTCTAATCTGGGCCTCTTACCCAATGCTAGGCATGCAGTGGGTTCCATTGGTAATAGTAAAAATGAAAACAGCTTGTATTGACCACTTACACGTGGTCAGGCACTTAAGAGTAAATTAAAGTAAATTAAGTAGACAATTTAATCATTATTCCTCTGTAGGGTACTCACTAATACCCAAATTGTAACAAACAAGGAAACAAAAGCTCCAGTGCTAGTGCCAGCAATCCATCCAAGGCCTATGATATTCCAGATCCAGGCCTTCACTAGGTTGTACTGTTTACTGAATGAAATCTTGTTTCATCAAATGAGAAGATTGATGTTCCAGAGAACTTAGCTGATTGGCTCAAGGTTACATGGAGACTGATGCATATCGCAACCCCCTTTTATTCTTTGCCAGACTTTTCTGCTTGAAGAGCTTCAAACTGCCATGCCTCCAGTTTATGTTTGCTTTCTGAAGGTCTCTGTACACCCTCACAGCTTCCAAATGTAGTGATTTATCAAATTAGATGCTAAAATATTGCTGGGAAAGAGGACTTTAAAATGACCATCTGTATGCATTTGGTGTACCTAAATCTTTTCAGAAATTTGGCTATTGTCCATGTGCCAGTTATTAGAAAACAAGTTGTTGTTCATGGAACTGACCACAGGTTGTGATGGCCTTTTTTATGCTTGCCATAAGTAATAAACAACTCATTTTGGCCCTGAAGTCAGGAGAATGGGACAAGTGGCTTTAGAGATCAAGAAGTGAGTTATTGGTCTTGTTATAAACTGGACTCAGAGCTGTCTGGGATGAGGGTATCTGAAGAGTTCATTATTGATGTCTGAGAATAATAACTCTTTGGAAGCAACTCAGCATTTGAATAACTTTAAAAAAAATCCATCCCCAAGATCAAACCTTGTGCACAAACATTTACAACCCTTTTGCTGTGTTCTGCCCTACCTGTTCTATTTCGTTCTGCTCCAGACTACAGAGTAAGCAGGTAGTTCCTCTTTGTTTAGTATTCCAATACTATACAAATTAATTAAAATACAATATTAAATATAATATTTATATTTAAAACCATAATTAAAATATGATGTTGTCAGTGATTGGATATATAGTGCCTAAAGTTTAATTTTTTTTTCTTCTTTCTTTCCTCCCATTCCCCCTGCTAGGCTAAAAGGCTAACTGCTTTTGTAATCACATGGGAGAAAAAATACCTGGAGTCCCCTTGAAACATAAGGCAGGGAACACATTGCCTGTGAGGCTTGAAATACAGGGAGCTAAAAGTAAACTAAGGAAAGTACATCTACACCTTGTCGTCTTTTGGCAATTACCAGATCATAAAGTAAGAAATATACCAATCAAATAACGGATGCTGATTGTAGAAAATGTTTTCTGTTCATCACAAAATATTGCTTTCAAATAGTTTTATTTGACTTTTATTTTTTACTCCATCCGGGCTGCTTTTACAATGAGAAAACACAGTGCTGTCAAAAGCAGAATATAATTGTCCAAACCACAGACTCTGAAAACCAACTAATTTAAACTCTTTTTCAACATTTATTGCTGGGTAACTTCGAGTCGGTTATTTAACCTCTGTGGGCAACAAGAAACTTCCTTATCTGTAAAAAAGAGATAATAATAGTGGCCACCTCACTGAATTGTTGTGAGTTTATACATGTAAGCACAGTGTCTGACACAGAGTGAGCTTTCAATCAAGGCTACCTTATTATTATTCTTGGTGGAAGAGAAACGATCTCATACCCTACTTGTTTATGACAGCTGTGCAGCTCTCTTTCTCCTTTGCCCCAGGCAAAAGGTAGCTATAGATAGAGCGTCCAAGGCTTTCCCTGACTGGAGTATAGGACTGCTTCTGTGTTAAGGTGGTGAGAGCCCTGCCTATCCTTCAAATACTCTGAGACCTAAAGCTCTCTGCAGATTTCAGCATGTGAGCCCCTGGGCTGATCAAGTGGTGGTGGGGAGTGGGGTGGGGGTTCCCTGAAGAAGTTTTAATAGTTTCAAATGAACGTTACCTGGTGTGAGGAATTTGTGTTGGAAAAAGTTACAGGGGAGTGATGAGGAGTCACTCAAATGTATGTGATCTTTTCTACTGGTGCCATCTGGTGTATTACCATGTTTCTCTTTTCTTTTTGGTTGCTTCTTTGGCACTATATGAAAAGCTTTTCTCCAAATTTGACTGAACAGGTCCTTGGCTCAAACTGTCATCTTTTAAAATTGGCCCTGGAGTAAAGGTTCAGAAAAATTATACGCCCCACTTTATCCTTTAATGAAATAAACTGTTCCATCTCCTGTGCTTGACTGCCTCAGGTAGTTTACATACTCATCCTGATCCGAGCTAAAGAGTACTCTGTGTCCATCTGGATTAGAGATAGTGATACGGCTTTACCAGTCCCATTTCCCTTCCTTCTGGGCACCTAGCTAAATGACAAGTCTAAGTATCCCTGCAGTCATTTGCCCTGTGCCCTGTGATTGAGTCCTGGCAAACGGAATGTGGGTGGCAGTAGGGTAAGCCACTCTCAGGTGCGGCTCCTGAAACTGAAACCATTAACACCATCTTCCAGAACTTTCTTTTGCCATTTGGCCATGTGCAGAGGATTCACGGTAGGACTCCTAGGATCTAGTAGATGGAAGAGCCACTAGATGAAAGAAGGCCAGGACTCCTGAGTGACTGTGTAGAGCCGATAATTTCCCCTCCCAAGAAAACTGCATTGGACTGTGAAGAAATAAATCTTGGGTTAAGCCACTTCAAACTTATGTGGTTATTTATTATAGCAGTTAGCCTGTACTGATTGATATACTCTCCTTATTTTAGACCTATCTCGGAACAATAAAAATCTTCCCCCCCTGCAACACACACACACACACACACACACACGCACACACGCACCTCCTTTTCTCTTTGTATCTGTTCTCACTCTCAGGGCTAACTTGCCTGGAATCCCTGTAGCATTTCAGCATGTTCACATCACCTAGAATTTAAATAAGTCACTAATGAAAATATCTGTCCCCTCTAGGTACTACCCCATATGTCCCTGCTTATTTGTTCTAGAAATTTTTACAGCTTCAATGTGGCTAACTTACCCAACTCTCTAAACATCTTACCTGCTTTCTGCTTTTATAGACCACAAAAATGGCCTGGGAAACCCCTCCTGGTTAGTTTCTTGCAGCTGGTATCCTGTTTCCCTTAACCTGCATGCATGTATTGACACTCTATCAATTTCTTCTTCAGTGCCCTCTTCCAAGTTTGGCTTCCACACTTCCGTGTTTTCTAAGTTTCTTGCTATAACTGAGTGTTCATATTAAAGTGTCTTTCGTGGCTTCTTATCATTGAACCATTAAAGACTCATGAATGCTCCCTGGGCAAAGCCTTTAGCACTAATTGGTTTCATATATTTTTATGTGGATTATACAAAGATATCGTCACCTGCATTCATTCTCTCTGTGTTTTCTTCAGATCTTTGGAGAATGCACGCCTTTTGTGTGGGTCCACTTCCCCTTATCAGTGACAGTTGAGCTTTCCTGAGTAGGCATGGGTCACTATTACAGACACACTGCTAGCTTTTCCTTTTCTCTGGAATGTCTTTCCCTGCCTGTCTGATCTAACCTCCACTCAAAATTCATAACCCCTCCAAGTGTCAGCCCCTCCAATCTATCTGTCCCCTCAGCCCACTCTAATTGAAACCCTCCTTTATGCTTCCATAGCACCGTGTGTGTATTGGACACAAGATGTGTCAGAAATGTGTCAAAACACTTATCAAATTGAGCTGGCATCATGGGTTGACTTTCCTCTTTTTACTTATTAATAGACTAAAGAATATTTGAGGAAAAGCCCAAAGTCTAGTTCAAGTCTGTATTCCCTTTGCCAAGCATACGGTTTGGTGCAGTGTGC